TAATTCAACTACACTATGTAGCGAATTATGCCGCGTGACAATTTGACAAAATTTACTGTTGGCGTGGCAGTCTGGTAATTTTTTTATCCAAACATGACAAAATGGTCACTGTTCCTAATAAATAGCCCACAGGCCACATCGACCTTATTGTTAAATTAATTGTTGTTAAAATCTCGATTTATTACTACGATTTTACGTTTTTACAATTTTTTTCATGAAAACGATTTTACTAATATTTCAAACGCTTTTACGTTTTTATGATTTTTTTACATTACGATTTTACGTTTTACGATTTTTTAATCTCTTTTTAATTTTAGTTAAGATCTCGATTCTAACAACATTGGTTAAATTAGTCTCATATTCACAAGCATGAACATAGTCTTATTTTCAACCACATACATTTTGAAGCCAAAGCATGTGCCCAAAGGTTGGAGAACTTTACTTCTGCGTTTATTGTGCTTTTATGCATTCTGCCCTCGATACCTATTAATAAATGAGAAAATTGTTTGTCATTTTAAATGACATAAAGTTATATCATTTTAAAAGAGAGATAAACACAAAATAAATTTTTTATTTAAATTTTAAATTAAAAAACACTCACTTTCTCTCTTCCATGATTTTCATTTTCTGTGTCTACCTCTCTCCTAAAATGACATAACTTATGTCATTTAAAATGATAAACACCAAACCCTTAATAAGAAGGGGGAATATTTTTGCAGTAATTATGACAGAAATCATTTCCTCTGTCACTGATAAAAAAACAAAAGAGAAAAGAGAAAATAAGAGAAAGAGAAAAATGAGAAAGAGAAAAGAAATGATGAATGAGTCAGTGGCAATCTGGCATAAAGAATTTTTACTTTTGAAGGAGAAATGATTTTCCCTAATAAAAAATAAAAAAAGTGTAAAGATACATAAATCTTTTTATAAATACTCCTTATTAATTATTTAAAAATTTAAAGATAAATAAAAAATTAAATACTCTTCACTATTATTTATTTTTTATCTTAAAATATACAAATTAACAGCTACTTTAATGCCGTTCAATACAATGTTCTCACCTTAAAAAATCAGTGTGCTACAAAATCAGTGTATTAATATATGTTAGGGAGGATTTATTGACTTCGATCTAAACCATCCATTTTCGTCCATTTAATAATTGTAACTTATTAAATTATATCTATTAATTAATTATTGTAATTAATGTTTATTTAAAAAAAAAAGGGAGCACCTATTCAGAAATCCTCCCACTGCTATTGTAGTGGCTTAACCTTAGAGCCTGTTTGGATCTTTTATTTTTAAGTTAAAAGCTACTTATAAGTTAAAACTAAAAAAAAGAGCTGAAAAAAATAAGCTAAAAATTGTTTGGAAATTACATAAAAATTTTAGCTTAAAAATTACTTAAAAACACATATTTCAAGAAAATTATCTCTCTACCTTTATCACTCTTCATTTAAAAAAAAAGCACACAATTCAAGAAAAACATATAAGAGCTTAAAAAAAAGCTCCTCCTAGAGCTTTTAGTTTTCAACTTTTTTTTTCATTATAAAAAAAAAAACTTTTTCATTATAAGAGCTTTTTTCAAAACCTAACTTATGCTTATAAGTAGCTTCTAGCTTAAAAAAAAAGGATCCAAACAAGCACTTATTCAATGACAGAAGCGTTTAGGCTTGGAGGCCCTCGCCCCCTTTAGTCGGTCTCGTACCCAAGTTTACATTATTTGCGTAACACTGAACTTCTGTTGCACGAGAGTGGTGCCTCTATACGGCAACATACCAAAATGGACTCTGGTTCTGAATTAATGGTAGTTAACATTTTGATTTATCATTATGATTTTATATTTTTATGATTTTTTTCATCAAAATAATTTTATTAATATTTCAAATACTTTTATGTTTTTATATTTTTTTACGTTATGATTTTACGTTTTACGATTTTTTATTTTTCCTCTGATTTTATGTAAGATCTCGATTTCAACTACTTTGCTTTGAACTATCACTTATTGCTTGTTCAGTTCCTAAATTAAGTTTCCCATTTGATTCTTCTACACACACATATAGGGGTGTTTGGTAGTTGAATTCTTTAGGGGGCATTTGGTTAAGGAGAAATTTTATGAATAATAGAAAAATGTCATGCATAGGCAAATGGTTGGAGGATTATGTTTGGTAAGAAAATGTAAAAAAAGTTGTTTGGTTGGAAAAAAATTTAGATGGAAAAATTAGGTAACTTTCATAAAGTCTATGTTTGGGAGTAGATAAAATATAGATGGGAAAAAAAGTAACAATTACGAAAATAACCCTATTTCGTACAATTCTTCCTGCGACAGATACATGATCATTCTCACTACTTCTTTCCTCGCCATTTCCTAAATTTCTATATATATCTTGCAGCTGATTAGCACTGTGAGTTTTGTCCCAACCATAAGCATATGGATCTAGCCCCTTGCTTCTCAACTCTTCAACCTGCAAAACAACCACTAAAAATGGTAGTAAAAAAAATTGAGTTTTTCTTCAAATGAGAAGACAATCTCAAACTAAAGTCCATTAGTTTATTAACCCTCTGACGAGTTGCGACTGGTTGATGCGGCGGAGGTGGTGGTTGAAGAAGAGCAGGAACGGAGAACAAGCCTTCTAGATGTTTGACGAAATGCGTCAGAGGAGTGAAACAAGTGCTTGAACTAAAGTCCATTCTCTCTCTCTTGCTTCCACACCAACTCTGCAAACAGCGTAAGGTACGACATTCAGGGGTATGCTCGTCATATGGTGATTACAAGTGAATCCCATTTAGATATAGACAATACCATGTGTGAAGTGAGAACAAGATTGCCGGCTATTTCCTCCCAATAGACATGAAAACACAAATTGCTGGCAATCAGCTTTGTGTAGGCAAATTGAGAAACCTCCTAAACGAAACATGATGATTTTAGAAACTCACTTTTCATTTGTCTATCAAATTCATCAAAATCTCTAAACCAAACACCCCTTTAGGATTGTTGGGTAAGTGAGGATGGGTATTGAATTATACCATATTTGGTATAAATTTTAAATAAATAATATCAATCAAATGATTTCCCCATGAATTGTGAAATGTATGTAAATTGAGTTAAAAATTACTGTTTGGAAATACCACCTCCGAGGTGATATTTTTAGATGACCAGCAAAGTGAAATATTTGGCGCGATTAGTGAGACGAAAATGCCCCTCATATTGGTGTAATCTAAGACGAAAACCCAATAATAATTCTTTCTCCAACAGTTTCAAATCCACCTGTTTGAAACCAAGCTCCCTGTGGCAGACCCAAAAATTGTGGAGTATGGATGGTTGCAGTTCTTACAGAAAAATCCAAAATAACATTGGACACTTCACTTCTCCTTGATAGAAATTAGAATCTCTGCCTTCAAGATTAATTGATTTCAAAAATCAAGAATATGTTACCCACTCTGTAATAATACACATTCTATAAAATGCAGCCAAAAAACCTTCAAAACAAAGATAATGAAAAAAAGAAAGAAGAAGGACGAGGTACCTTTGTTTGTGAAGTGTAGTTCTTCACGAAGAATCATGTCTGAAGTTATTACCCACTCTCTTCAACTAATCATGATAGTGAGAAAAAGAAAAGGAAGAACCATGTATGAAGTTATTACCCATGTATGTAGTTGCCAACTTTCCATCAATTTACATGCAAGAAAAAGAAACCCATGAAAAATTAAATCAACATGAAGGGATTATTTATGCAATTAGATTAGGCATCAAATTGAAAGAAAACCCATAATTGAATTTCAAAGAAAAATAAAAATCGATCTTTGAAATGGCTAGGAAAAGCTAATTTGCAGATTTGGGCGTGAATTGGGAAACTAAGGTACATATAGGGTTATTTTCGTATATTCAATCTATTTTTTCGTCAATATTTTACTTCCAATCAAATATAGACTCAGGAAATTTAACTTAATTATTTTGGTAATATTTTGACTTACTAAATAACTTTTTTTTAACTTTATTATCAAATTCATTTTCTCATCATATTCCTCGTAATTATTCTTTTTAGTAAAAAAAATTTTCTACTCTACCAAACTCCACCTAAAAGTATGTAAAGTCTATGGGAAGTCATATAAAGAAAAGAAAAAGTAAAAAAAATATTAATCTAAGAGATAAAATTATCTTCAATAATTTAAAAAACGTTAATATTTAATTATTAATTTTAAATAAATTATAATTATCAAATGAACTAAAATCAATAATAGATATAAAAAATTAAAACTACATATATTATATTTACGTGTACACAATTTCTCCTTTTGCGGGAGATGATTTTTTTGATGCTGCAGTCACATTTCACAAGCATCGAAATGTGTAATTTACTTGTTGTTTTGTGTTTTTTTTAACAACTAATGGATCTTATCGAAAACTCCATCTGCCGAAGAAAAAAACTTGTTTATCTTATATTTATGAAGAGAGTGTGTATCATTTCAAAGGATATAATAATATTATATTATTTTAAGTAAGAAAAAAAAAATCATGAAAAAAAGAGTCAGAAAAAAAAAGTTTTAAAGATGCGAATCTCACATCTTTATGGAAACAAAAAAATATAAAGTGTGTGATATATCATTTAAAATAGCACATTTTTTTTCTATATTTATATTAAAAAATATAACTGTTATGTCTGCTGTTGATCCATTGAAATTCGTGCACTTTTTTTTTATAATAAAATAGTTGATTGTGCGATTACAAAAAAAAAAAAAAATAGTTGATTGTGCCATTTATCTTAAAAAAAAAAACAGTTGGGTACAATAATAAAATCAAATGTGTATATCGTGCCGTAAGCGCCTTCTCCGAACAAGTTGCGTCGTGTCTTGCTGTCACTTTCCCATTAAACAAAAACAAAGACACATACATTTGCAATTTTTTTAAGGCCATAATCACAAACCAACCCTTCAACGCTTCTATTTAACTTTCTACATCAGAGATTCAAAATCAATGCTTGTGTTGTGACCATTATTATCCCAGATCTTATTCCATTCACATAACATCTCGCATATGACACAAATCCATAACCTGTTGTTGTTATTCTGATTCACCCCACAAACAGAAAAAAGCAAAAACAGAATAAAAATCAAATCTTTCTTTCATTTTATCCTCTCTTTTTTTGCATCATGGGTACTGAGACCTCATCCGTGGATATTTCAGAACCTTTGCTTGTGGAGGATCCTCACAACAACAAGAGGGAATATTTGAGTGAGGAGGTTCCTGAATGGAAGGATCAAATCACAATCAGAGGGTTGGTGGTGAGTGCTGTGTTGGGGTGCTTATTCTGCATCATCACACACAAGCTCAACCTCACTGTTGGGATCATCCCTTCCCTCAACGTTGCTGCTGGTTTGCTTGGATTCTTCTTTGTTAAGACTTGGACTGGTTTCTTGTCCAAGATGGGACTTTTCACAAAGCCCTTCACAAGGCAAGAGAACACTGTTATTCAGACTTGTGTTGTTGCTTGCTATGGCCTTGCCTTTAGTGGTAACGCTCTTATCTCTCTTACCCCCATTTCCTTGTCATTTTTGTTTTAGAGGGTTAGCTTAGCTTGGTTTGAATTTTCTTTTATTCTTGTGGATGTGACTGTTATTGTTGAATTGACTTTAGATCTTCTCATACACTATTGCCTCTCTCACCGGTCAATGTACCTTTATACTCCACAAATCATATAAAAAGTTAGTTTTTTTTTTTTTTCCATTTCAGGATAAGCTTCTGTTTTCTTCACTTTTGTGTTTTAAATTCAACCATGAATTATGAGTAATTGAGTACCATGTAAGTAAAAGGATTCATAAACTCAATGCCTTCCCTGTTTGGGCTCTCCCTTATGATATAAAACTTTGTTACATGCTGCATGAGATAGGTGTTTTCTTGAAAGTGATGTCTCAGCTTGCACTTAGTTTTGTGAAGGTGTGATGTGAAATAGCTAAGGTAAATTGACAATGGAGCAGAAAATGAACATAACATCCTTCTATTCTCCCTCTTCTCCACTCCTTAACTTTATCACTCTTGATCTTTAATCTTTTGTTACCTTTACAGCTTCACTGTTTTCTTCGTAATTCCAGCTCCAACTGATGTGCTTGGATTCCTATAAATGAATCAAATCAATTGAGAGAGCTAGAAGGGTGCAAGTAAAACAAAAATCCTTTAGAAGCTTGAAAATGAATAAGTAGGTTCAATGAGAAGATCAATTTTCTGGTTAGACGTGTTTTTAGGTTCTTGCTCATTCTCATTACTTCTGGTTGTCCTCCATCAGAACCTTTTCAATGTAGGACTTGGGTGTCTTGTCTTTACCAAAAAAAAAGGACTAAAAGCTGCACTCTACACTGTTGGAGACAAGTCCTTGGGGGAAGGGTTTTTTGTTTTAAAGTTCTGTTTTGCAACCTATCTACAAACTAGTACACCTAATGGCTCAATTTATTTCACACAAAAATCAATTCAGGTGGAGATGCTAATAATGAAGGCAGAGTCCCTCAAAATAAACATTGAAAAGCCATCTATTTGTCACCTAGCAATGAATGCAAGTCATCTCACATTCTTTATATTATAATCTTAACTATGTTTGATGATAGAGAAGTTTAAGTATTGTTTTCCTTGTATTTTACTTGAAATTTATCTAGAATCACAAATTTTCCTTGAACTTGTTTCTCACTCATAAAAATAAACAAACAAAGCTGACACCGCTGCACTTGAAAATTAGTAAATAAAGTGAAAAGTTAAAAGAGGAAAAAGATATTATGATCATAAGAAGAATAATATCATTCCTACCAGAAATACAAATTTCCTGAGGGGTTGTAGGCAGTTAGCTGATGTGGTAATTTTTTCTTTGTCGACATCCTCTAATGGGACTTTATACAGCCAATCTCAGGAAGAACATCAGAGGATCTTTGATCTAGCATGGTCTAGGATTTTCAGTTTCCTGTGGCTCTTCATTCCTTTGTTACTGCTGGTTTATTAAACCATATCTTTTGCCCAAACAAAGACAGTGTATTTCTTGGAAGAGAAGAGATCACCACTTCCGATTCTTAAGAACAGTAGATATTATTTTGAAACTTGAAATTTTAATACTTTTGTTTTTAATTTTTCATTTTTTTCATGGAATAATAATTTATTAGAAAGATTCCATTTTTTTTTATTGCCTTAGGAAAACATCTGTTGAAAAGCTTTAAACCACTGATGAAGTCTTTCTCTGTAAAAGTGAAAATAAAATAGTGGATGTTAAAATGCGGTTATTTACTTGATTTTTTCCTTTTTTTTTTGTAGATGGTTATTTACTTAATTGTACAAGGTAAAAATGTTGTGTTACGAATGATGTTCTATTCTATTTCTGTTCCAACTCTAGTCAAACAATCTTTCAAACCTCTTTGTCATAAGAGTTGCCTCTGATAGTGGTGAAATTTTTTTATTTTATTTTTACATAAATTTCTCTGCTAAATGTGACATTGTTGACAGGGGGATTCGGTTCATCCTTAATTGCAATGGATGAGAGAACGTATGAACTCATCGGCCCTGATTACCCTGGTAATAGAGCTGAAGATGTTAAAAACCCAGGCTTGGGTTGGATGATAGGTTTCATGTTTGTTGTCGGTTTCCTTGGACTTTTTAGTCTTGTGCCACTTCGGAAGGTGATCTATGTGGTTCATTGTTATTAAGTTGGATTTGTTAGAATTCTGTTTATTTCTTTGCTCTTTTTCTTTTTTATCAAAAGGTAATTATATTTAAAGAGGAGAGAACAGATAACATAAGCAGGACAATTAAGATACCCCACCTTGGCTAGTCGGGGTTTAGCGGGGAGTGTTTTTTTATTCAAGAATTTTCCCCCTTTTGATCTGGAAGATGGATTGATACATGGTCAAACTTAGAGCTTTTAATCATTATAACTATTGTTCTTTAGGATTTTGGAGTATTTTTTGAACTATTAGTATGATGACTGTACTTTTCTTCATTAACTTTCATGTTTGTGGTTATATTGCTGAATATTTGACATTCTATGGGAAATCTTTTTATTCATTTATTTTGTGAAAACTATACAAAAGGTTCTTAGAGGATGTTTGATTGTCTTGTGCCATAAATAATGCTCCCTTCATCCTGTTCATTTTGTTGCTTTGGCTGAAAACACAAACTTTAAGGAGTTGTCTATGCGGTCCAGGTGATATGAATTTCTTTTTTTGGGTACCGATATGAATATCTAATCTGTTGAGAGGGATAAGTGTTTGTTTAACTGTCGATGTTAAAAGCTAAATGGAAAAGTTCATTTAGAAGGAATTGTGTAATTAAATGCTTTTAACTTTTCAAATTTTTTGGATTCACCATTTCTCCATCAACTCCAAAACTACATCGTTTTGGTGATCGGAGGAATTAATAAATGGTGTTTTGGTAAAATTAATATAACAAGAAACAGATTTTCCCCCCTAAAATACCCTTTATTAATTCCCCCAATTACCAAAATGATGTAGTTTTGAGGTTGATGGAGATAACTTTATCTCAAGTTAGTGGAGAAACGATAAACCCATGTATTTTACCCAACAAAAATCAAATGGTCTATAATGAGAAAAATGAATAATAGAGTGGAACTGGAGGGAGTGCAAATTCTGGTTATGGCTGTTTTCTCTATATATAAATGTAACTTCTGTTTGCTTCAATCTATTGCAAATATGATATATCATTTCCTTTGCCAATGTATCTTGATTTCAGGTAATGGTCTTGGATTATAAGCTTACATATCCCAGTGGGACAGCCACAGCAATGTTAATTAACAGCTTCCACACTAAGACTGGAGCAGAACTTGCAGGGTATACATTACAGATTGTGTTAATTTGACTACTCAGAAGCTTTTTATATCTTAACACACTGTCATAGGTCACGCTCTTTATCGCTGAACCTTTCTGTTTATTAATGAGAGCATCGTGAAAACACCTTAAAATTTTTTGACCCCTCTTAGTGAGTATGCAAAGATTTTATTTTTGTTACTATTTTCTTTCCTTTTTATATTTATTAATTATTTTCTTTGAGAATCTTACAGGAACCAAGTTTCGCAGCTGGGAAAGTATCTAAGCATAAGTTTCTTGTGGAGCTGCTTTAAGTGGTTCTTCAGTGGTATTGGGGATTCATGTGGATTTGACAACTTTCCTAGCTTTGGTTTGACACTATTTAAGAACACGTAAGTCACTTGTAATTTTGGCTTTCTTTTCACTTTATTTTCCCACTCACATTAAATTATGCTGTGGCTGTTCTTGGGTATCACATATGATATAAATGTTCAATGAGATCTAATGACTGTCGTAGTAGTCTGAGAGTTTCTTTGTGTTAGAATAGTATGTTAAAGTAGTAATGGCTGTTCTTGGGTATCACATATGATATACATGTTCAATGAGATCTAATGACTGTCGTAGTAGTCTGAGAGTTTCTTTGTGTTAGAATAGTATGTTAAAGTAGTACAATGTATATAATAGAATAGTCCCACATCTTGTATATGATAGATTAGTTTCTGTACTTGTTAATATAAATATATTACCTAAGTGCTCATATTAGACACACAATTGTCTAATCTCGAGTATCTCAAGTTGGTACCAGAGCTCTTTATTCTGGGAACTTTTGCTTCCGCTAAAACCCTAAGCCCACTACTTAGGTGTGACAAAACTCTAAGCCCATTGCTTAGGTGTTCTCTCCTTCCTTGCCGTGCATCCTTCCGGCAAACCCTCATCTGTCATGTGTCCCTTTGGCAGGTCTTCTACGTCGTGTGTTCCTTTGGCTTGTTTCTGCAACTGTCAAAACCTCCGCCTGCCGCCAGAACCACCGCCGCAATCACTGTTCATCACCGGAAACACTGTTTCGGCGTCCTTTTTGGGTCGTTCCAGGACAGAACTGCTCGATTTTGTCCCTGCTTTCTAGATCTGCTCTTGGTTCTTCGTAGGTCTCTTGTTTGGCGCGTGTTTCTTCTTGTTTGGCTATTGGTTTGCTTCTATTTACTTGGTTTTGCAAGTTATTTTTACATTCATAATTTAATTTAATGGCAGCATCATCTCCTGTTCACTCGAAGATTACTTCTTCTCCTCCTCCTGCCAAAAATTTCTCGGGTATCATCTCCATTAATGTTGGGTCCATTACCTCCTCCAGACTGAAGGGTTTTGTTAACTATAAGAATTGGGCCACCTCTATTCGTGTCTGGTTCTTTGGACAGGGGCATGGGCGACATCTCTCTGTTCAACTCATTGTTGTTCGTCACTGGCTACTCCTTCAACTGGACATTCAAAATGTTTTTCTTCATGGTGATTTACAAGAGGTTTACATGGAGCAACGACTTGGGTTTGTTGCTCATGGGGAGTCTGAGATGGTGTGTAGACATCGTAAGTCCTTATATGGCCTCAAGCAATCTCCTTGGGCATGGTTCAGTCATTTCAGTTTTGCCGTTCAGGCTTTTGGCTTAATCCATAGTGAGGTTGATCATTATGTGGTTTATAGGTGCACATCTCCTGATAAGTGCATCTATACGTTAGTCTATGTCGATGACATCATTCTCACTTTTCAAGCTGGGATTGACCAATTAAAACAATATTTGTTCAGTCAATTTCAGACAAAGGATCTGGTGAGCTTCGTTACTTCTTAAGGATTGAAGTGGCACAGTCTAGACAGGGCATTTCCATCAGTCAAAGGAAATATGCCTTCGATATCTTAGAGGAGACTGGTATGTTGGGGTGTAAACCAGTTGATACACCCCTGGATCCTAATATCAAATTATTGTCCGGACAAGGGGAGCCATTATCTGATCCTGGACGTTATCGGAGGTTGATTGGGAAGCTCAGTTATCTCACTGTGATTAGGCCGGACATCTCTTTTGTTGTTAGTGTGGCTAGTCAGTTCCTTGACTCCCCTTGTGATTCTCATTGGGATGCTGCTATAAGGATCATTCGGTACATCAAAAGAGCACCAGGGAATGACTTATTATATTCAGATCAGGGACATACATAAATTTGTGGTTATTTAAATGCCGATTGGGCAGGATCATCCTTGGATAGACGCTTTACTTCAGGTTATTGTATTGTCTTTGGAGGAAACCTAATTTCTTGGAATAGTAAGAAACAAATTGTTGTTGCCCGATCCAGTGCAGATGCCGAGTATCATGCAATGGGAGTTGCCACCTACGAACTAATCTGGTTAAAGCAGTTTATTTGAGAGCTCCATCTTTGTGAAACAGAAGCAGCCCATGACACTCATTTGTGACAATCAAGTTGCGCTACTTATATCATCTAATCCTGTATTCCATGAGAGAACCAAGCACATAGAGATTGATTGTCACTTCATTCTAGAAAAGATTCAGTCAGGAGAAATCAAAACGACATTTGTCAACTCCAAGGATCAACTTGCAGGTGTCTTCACTAAAGCTCTTAGAGGTCCTCGGGTTGGATACATTTGTAACAAGTTGGGTGTTCGCAATATATAAGCACCAGCTTGAGGGAGAGTGTTAGAATAGTATGTTAAAGTAGTACAGTGTGTATAATAGAATAGTCCCGCATCTTGTATATGATAGTTAGTTTTTGTACTTGTTAATATAAATATATTCCCTATGTGCTCATATTAGACACACAATTGTCCAATCTCAAGTATCTCAAGTCTTTGTATGTGGGCTTAAGGCAGTATGTTGCTGTTAAGAAAAGAGAGTGAATGGCCAGTGATAAATATTGACTGAAAGGCTTATATAAATCTACATTTGTATTTATATTCATATTGTGTTGATATCAATATGAATATATTTCACTTGTATGCTTTTACTTAAGGTGCACTGCAAGCAACTACTTTTTGAATTCCATAACAACCCATGAGCTAGTGCTAGGCTTTCATCTAGTTATAAATTGACAGAACCTAGCGAACTGGCAAACTGTAACTTGTAACTCAATGAACTCAATAAATAAATTTACAAATATTACTTTTCCTCTTGGTGAATATCTCCCTCTTCCTGTACTTGGAATATACTGAAACAACCCAATTATGATCATGAATACCTATACCTCGTTAAGAAATTAATGGGCAGAGTCACAAACTTGTTATTTCTGATAGAACTCAACCCTTCACCACCACACTACAAGCACAGGGGTTGAATGTCTGGAATCACATGAATGCCTGAGAATAATTGCAAGTTCTAGTGACAGACTAAGTCCGAGTGGCAGACCCATATTTGACATCATATCTTGAGGAATAATATATATATATATATATATATATATATATATATATATATATATATGGGTTTATCTTTTCTCAAGTCACTTGAGATAACCTTATCTACGACCACCCCAAAACTATGTCGTTTTGGGTGTTAGGAGAATTAATGAGGGGTGTTTTGGTAAAATTCATATAATAAATAAACAAACAAAAATACCAAAACACTCTTCATTAGTTCTCCTAACACCCGAAAACACCCTTCATTAATTCTTCTAACACCCAGTGGCCGGAAATAAGGTTATCTCAAGTGACTTGAGAAATATTTCTCTCTCCCTCTCTCTCTCTCTCTCTCTCTCTCTCTATATATATATATATATATATATATATATATATATATAAGGTTTCGGCTTGTCTCAAACTGGTTAGTTCCCCTGGTTTGTACATGAACCCATTAGGTAGATAGGATTTGGAGAAAAGAGCAGAAAGTGGCCACAAGTTATATGAAATTGCAATCTAGGGTTGCAGTTTTTCCTTTAGGACAATTCAAACACCTTTGTAGAGTTCTAAGGTTATGGTCTTGCTGCTATTGGTTGGCTGTGGCCTGCCTGATCAGTTGTAGAATTTGTTTCTTTTTTGAAACTGGTAGAGGTTTATTAATCGGCCTCTGATACAATCATAGAAGGTAACAGAGAACTCAAATATTGAATGATTTAATGCTTGCACATCTATTGTCTATTTACAATGATACTACAATTATATGGTGACACTTGCACCTTTACCGATGGTGTAGTACAAGAGGCTACAACTTCTCCTAACAAACTAGTTGTTTTTCTTAATTCTGCAACAGTTTCTTTAGGTTTTACTTTGTGGTCGTTTGTATTTAACTGCCCTTCCTGATGATGCTTAAAATGAATATTTCTTCATTAATATCATGTCAAAATTTTGTGGTAGTGTATTCAATTTGTGATCAAATATTTATTTTTTAAATAGTAAGTGTTGTGTCTTCTGTGGAATGAATATGGAGGGTTCCGAGGATACAAGTAATTTTCCAGATACTAACATGGCATCCTTTTCGTGCAGATTCTACTTTGACTTCAGTCCAACCTATGTTGGATGTGGTCTTATCTGCCCTCACATAGTCAATTGTTCAGTTTTTCTTGGAGCTATTATATCATGGGGTTTTCTGTGGCCTTTCGTCTCCAAGCATGCTGGGGACTGGTATCCAGCTAACCTTGGTAGCAGTGATTTTAAAGGTCTTTATGGATACAAGGTATGGCAAAGCAAATATACTTGCAGGACATCACTTACGTATCTTTATGCAAGCAGTACTTGTAATCTATACCTTGAGGTTTTGTCTGAAGTCCCAGTGTAAATTTGGAACTGACATTGGAAAGTCTTGATTACTTGTAACTAGAGAACCAAGCTTGAGCAACCTACTATTTGTTAGTTTGAATTATCAAATTTAATACATGATATTTATCTTCTTCTATGTGTCTTAAACTTTCTAGTCCAAATGAAAATAGTGAATAACATATAATAAGGAATATTAGATTTAGATCATTATCAACATTGAAAATTTAAAATTTTACTTGCTATAGCCGAGCACAGAAGAGTATATGTTTTTTGTTTTCTACGTAGAGGTCATTGTTTTGAGTTAATACTGAAATAATTTTGCCTTATTTGCTCTTAAACAAGCTGAGCCAGTGTCTTAAAAAGGTTTGCTTGTCTGTATCAGCTCGGCTTCTTTACATCGTTATCCATAGGCATTTTTCTTGTGAATTACTTTTTAGTCTCACCAATAATTTCACGACTTGCTCCATTGGTTAGTTACTATATTCTGATATGATTCTGTAGTAAAGCTGTTTTCTTCCTTGTCATGTTTTGTGCAGGTGTTCATATCTATTGCCATTATTTTAGGGGATGGTATTTACAATCTGATAAAGATTATACTGATAACTGCTAGGGAGATGTGGAGGACAAGCTTCAAACAGAACAGCCTTCCTGTTGTGACAGAGGTTCATGGTGAGTACAATAAAATACTTTCTAAATATTTCTTTCAGCAAGTGTGGTCTCGTTTTCTTTTTTATTGTAATCAAATTATGTTCAGTACCTGCCTTGTCATTTCCCATGCTGGACATATATGAATGTTGTCAACTTGTCATACATGCATATTGTTTATTTTCAATAAAATACTCTATCCTAGTGACCTTGAGTCTTGATCTGCATAGCAGCTTGGCTCTCCATAAGAAAAAAATTGGGCTGCATTGTGGAAAATAACAACTGAATGGAATTAATTAACTTCAACCGAAAAGTATGTCTGATTATCTACTCCAAAGTTGTCATTTTAAACTAGTGGTATCAGGGGGTGTATATTGTTGTTAGCGTATAGTACTATTAATTTCTTTGACTTCATAGATGAAGAATTAGCCATCAAATGATCTGTGTTATTATTTGAAAACGAAGCCATGTCATATAGATTGATCGGTCTCTGATTACTAGTATAGAACCATTGATGAACATGACTTCGGATCATCATGTCTTGCTTGACATGGTAATGGTCAAGATTTGAGTGCAAGTGTATAATCTTCAAAAGTTAATGTTCATATGCATGTTCTCAGATGGGGAGAGTTCTGAACTGCAATTAGAACAAAAGCGGAGAGATGAAATATTTTTGAAGGACAGAATACCCACATGGTTTGCAGTCTCTGGATATGTGGGTTTGGCTGCGATATCCATAGCAACAATACCAACTATCTTCCCTCCTCTCAAATGGTACTTGGTTCTGTGCACTTATATCCTTGCTCCTGCCCTTGCCTTTTGCAACTCTTACGGCTGCGGGCTCACGGACTGGAGTTTGGCATCCACTTATGGGAAGATTGGTCTTTTCATCATTGCGGCCGCAGTTGGCCAAAACGGTGGAGTAATAGCAGGAGTAGCATCTTCTGCTGTGATGATGTCCATTGTTGCAACTGCTGCTGATCTCATGCAAGATTTCAAGACAGGTTACCTCACCTTCTCATCAGCGAAGTCTATGTTTGTGAGCCAATTGATAGGAACTGCCATGGGTTGTATAATTGCTCCCCTCACATTTTGGATGTTCTGGACTGCCTTTGATATAGGGTCCCCTGATGGCCCTTACAAAGCACCATATGCTGTTATATTCAGGGAAATGGCCATACTTGGTGTTGAAGGATTCTCAGAGCTTCCAAAGCATTGCTTGGCTATGTGTGCTGGTTTCTTTGTGGCAGCCCTTGTCATCAATCTTCTAAGGGATGTGATTCCCAAGAAGTTCTCACAGTATATACCTATTCCAATGGCAATGGCAGTTCCTTTTTACATTGGTGCTTATTTTGCAGTTGATATGTTTATTGGAACTGTGATATTATTTGTATGGGAAAGGTTGAATAGAAAGGATGCTGAGGATTATTCTGGAGCAGTTGCTTCTGGTTTGATATGTGGTGATGGGATATGGACAATTCCTTCTGCAGTGCTCTCTATTTTGAGGATCAATCCTCCTATCTGCATGTACTTTGGGCCTTCTGTAAGCAGCTGAATTAAGCAACTTTAGGCTCTATTTGAAACTCTAATGTTTATTGGCCTTGTGTCTGTAAATATCTGGATGTAACATCACAGGGAATATCTATATTTCGCTTCCTTTATTTATCTAGGTAAATATTTAGGGAAGTTATTCTGTCCCTTAACTGTCTTGGGTTAAAAAGGCACAAAGAGGTGAGGGGTGCCTTGACCCTAATTTCCTTTTTGTGCATTCATGTATTGCACATTCTTTTCCTTCCAAGTTACCTCAGTTCAGAGCTGTGGTACTTTGGATAGTCTTATATTACATTCAGATATGTTAAAACATAAAACCACTTTGATTATTGAAATGATGGCCCATATATATATATATATAGATATAGATGTGTGTGTTATAAAATGGAATTAATCTGTACAAGCTGCTTATGCTTCCTTCTATAATTTCGTGGCATGTTGATTAATTAATGATATTTATAGATACTTATAAACGTTTCACATTGTATTTTATGGGCCATTAAATAATGAGTTTAATTTTAATCCATTTTGTCGTTTGTAAAAGAATTTTTGGGTAATGCTATGGAAGCTTGGACAGCCCTCTTGTGGGTCAATCATAAGCTCCTCTCTTTATTTTGAGGATCAATTTTGGGCCTTCAACAAGTAACTGAAATCTCTAACGTAACATTGTTTTTGATCATTGTCTAATTCATAGGCACTGTGTAAACATCTCTATCAATGGAGAATACCTATATCCATTTTTTGCATATGTTTTGACTGAGCTGAACTCTCTTTTCATAGAGAAATTGTTTTAATTCTAGTTTTATGACAATAAAATATGTTAAACACTGATTAATATGTAAAAATGACAAAGACATGAATGTGACTCATTCCATTCAAGATGAAACATGCTAGCCTTCGTTAAAGCAACAGAAACACTATATTAAGAGGGGCATGAACTAGCGTGTGTAATTTAGTTGGCAACATAGGTTGATTAGTTGTGGAGAAAATATGGGTTCGATTTTCATTAAATATATATTTGAGAAAGGGTGAATAGGTTAAAAGTCGGCTCAAAGAGTTGAAGTTTATGAGGATACCCGAAAGTCGACTCACCTTAGAAAAGTAGTTAGGGTTGATATAACAAAGGAAAAAAAAAAAGGCTAAGCATGTGATGATTTTATTGTGTATTGGTATGAGTAGAAGGGATTCTTTAAGCAATTGATTTTGAGTTCAATCATGAACTTTATGTGTATTCTATAAAAATTAGTCCCTTACATATTGGGTAAAAATATTTTGAAAAATATAAATAAAAAAGAAAAAAAGCAAAAGAAAAAACAAAAATAGTTGCTTCAAAGAGCTCTTGTCACTATCACCATAACAAAATAAGGTTATGTAGAAAATGACCAAACTACCATTTTACTTCTTTAAATATTTGTGTCGATAAATTAATTTTTTAAATATTTAAATGACATTAAAATAATTTAAATTAAGGTCACATAAAATTTGAAAAAAAAAAATATGGGGCATGATATACTTATCACCAAAAAAATGTACAACCTTTACAACTAACCTGATCACCATTGATTTCCGTCAACCTAATGATTATAACTTATTGGAAATTTATAATTAATTAATAAATGTGACCCAATAATTTTCAATAAATTATAACCGTTATATTGACGAAAATCAATGGTGATTAGGTTAGTTATAAAGGTTGTAAACTTTTTTTGGTGGTAAGTATATCCTTCCCAAAAACTATTTACTATTACTTTAAATCTTTAGAATTCTAATTTGATCTCATAAATCTTTAAATAACAAAAATATTAGTTTAGTCTATGAGTTATCTACCCAAATGCTCGTCATTCAACATCATAAAGGGCAAATTGTGCGTCGTAACAAGTAACTACTATCCGTTATCCATTAATAACATTAATTAATGAATTATTTATTATGTTGTTCCTCAACTGAATTTGATAGAAGCTTTGAAACTTCCCTTTGTTTTTTAGATTTGTCCTATATAATATGGAAGGTCGAATGTTTTGTGCTCTGTTATTTTTTTTTATTTTTTTTTGGGTAATCTCTTTGTGCTCTGTTATTAATCATTAACTAAGTTAAAAGAATAAAATCAAATTTGAAGATAAAATAAGAGAGTTGAAATTTGATGTACAACCGGTGAAACAAAAAGTATTGATAATCTTTTCGGTATATGATGTATCATTCAAATTTACATACTTTTCGAATCTTATAATCAAATATTGGATAGGATATTAAACTTCATAAATTGAAGGTTCCATATTGATTATAATTTTAATCTGTGAAAAAAAATTGATTAAATAAAATTGTGAAACTAAAAGCACGAATGCATCTATCGTATTCACATTACGTTTTACAAGTCATTTTCAAATCAGTTTTGAAATATCAAGGTAAACAGACAAAGGTGTGTGAATCTATAATTTTGAAATGACCTTTGAACTTGTACCAAAAACAAATATATTTCTCCCATGCTAAAAATATTGTAACAATATTGCATATTTTTTTTAGATTTCTCGGTGGACTTAATCCTATTCAAATCGGGAACATTCACATCATGATGTGACTAATTCTCTTAAAGAAATTTTTTTTACATTCACAAGAACTTGAGTTTAAGTTTTGACTACCCATTTGTGTTCAAATAATCAATAAGTTACAGATTTATTAATTATTTAAACACAACTGGATAATTAAGACTCAAACTCAAAATCAATAATTTTTTATTTTTTTTTGGTATAATCTGAAGATATTCTTGTTCAACCTCTCCTGCTTGAGGCAGGTTTCAACCCCTGACCTAAGCAAATCATTGGGAGTTCAATTGACAACTGAACTTCTCTCGGGGGTTCAAAATCACTAATTAAACTAAAACAATCATGTACAAATTAAATTTGAACAAATATAATGCAGTTTTTATTTGCTAATTTTTTGCTGTGAGCAGTACTGCTGCTTGTTTCTAGAATCACCTTGAATAAGACCCTCATTATGAATTTATGATGGTCTTTCTTATCCTCCGAGACTCCAATGTCATTTCCTATATAGTTTGTTGGAATTTTCCTTCCAAAAGAAAATTTGCAAGTTTTTTTATGGGATTTAAAGTTTGTTATATTATAGGATATAAAATTATCTTTTATATATATATATATATATATATATATAAATATAAGTGTATAGAGCCTAATTTTTTTTTTCTCTTCTTACATGATCTAATACATTTTTATGTGTATTAGGCAGATAATTTTAAATATTTTGATGTGAGTTGTGAAAGTGGCTTGCAGTTTCTCAAAGGAATGAATAGGAAAAATAAAAATAGAAAGTGGTTAGAGAACTAGCTGGCCATGGCTACCTGTCATTCAACAAAACAATGACATTTTTGTTTTTTAATTTAATTTGAGAATCTAGTTCTTGAGTATTTTCATTGCCATTATAATGTTGGATTCTCTTTGTGAATGGAAAATCCAATACCATCAAGCCAACCAACCCCAATGTCATAATTCACAAAATTTGCCAATCAGTCACGTGGCACAGATTGTGACATCTTCGATAGTAAACCCACTAACCTGCTTAAGAATCTTTTTCAAAACATTTGTGACAGATCGATGAACATACACCATCCATTTTAGTGGTTTATCTCTAACTATGGCCATAAATTTGCTACATGACAGGATGTGTACCTGCTTTTTTATTTTGTAGTTGTTTAGTGTTATTGAATCATTTATACTACGAGTAACCAAAAAAATAATAAAAAAGTATACTATATTATAATTTGTTAGAGAGATATAATGTAAAATAATTAAAGGTCCATTACTTAATAGATTGAATTTTTAGGTAAGATAATTACTTATTATGATATTAAAACCAAAATAACCATCAAGTCACGAGTTCAAGATATGAAAAAATAATAATAAAGTTATACAATATTCATATTTCAAATCAAAAAAATTCTTACATAATATGATATATTAGAAATATATAATATAAAATGAATAAATAGTGATCAGTTATCCCTAAATATGCAACAAAGTTATTTGACAGTCGAAAAATATATAATGGTCCATTTCTCTCTCCTCTGTCTTCCTTTCTCTTTCCTCTCTCCTTTCTTCTCTCTTCTTCCTTCCCTCTCTAACCTGCACATGTGATCCGGATCACAAAAGAAACGCTCCTGACTGTCACGTACAAAGAAAGTGTATGCGCGATAGAGAGAAAATCGCTTGATTGCTAAAATCTATTGAAAACCTTTGTATCCACTACATATAGTATGAAGAAAAAGAATCTCAAAATATGGTGACAAGTGATAATGTTTGGTCCTAGAGAACCATATTGCTATACCGTACGGTATGCGCTCAGAGATACCCTAGAGATAGGTATCCAGATTGGCTTATAACCAATACTCCAATCACAGCGCACAAGCAATAGACTTATAGCCAAGACGTGAGTGTGTGTACAGTGTTGGAACAATAGTAAATAGGTTGAAAAGTGTGTACTTGAGGTCTTTAACCTCTTATTAATAAGGGTTACCTCTTGGGCTTGTGTAAATCTCTCAATTATAGTAGAATTCAACTTCCTTTCTGTTAGGATAGGGACTCTATCCTTAGCAGCCTTACTGTTTTATATTATTAGGATAATTGGGTAATTATACTTTAAGGGATCTTTAGGTTGGTGGTTAGGATATGGAAATATTCCATAACAGTTGCCCCCCAGCCCGACAGTTCGGAAGCTCGGACTGCTGGGATGCCTAAGTCTGATTGATAGGTCGACCCTACCGAGGTGCTATGATCCTGCCTTGGGTCTGGTGCGACTACCTCTTCTTGGTTTAGCTTTTTATATTGGCTTCTTTTCTCTTGAAGTCTCTGAGTGGTGAGACGGTGTTTGCTTTTCTTTTTTTTTACTTTGAGCTCGGCTTCTCTTGCCGAGGCTCTTTAGTTTTGAATAGGCTTATTGTCAATCTTTTATATAGGCATTCAGCTAAGTTTTAGGATGGAATTTCGTACCTCCTTAATAATTAACCTGACTTTGCACTTCCTGGCTTTAAGTGTCCTGGTTTCAGATTTGGCTCGGTTTCGCATACGGAGATCTCTATTAGCATGGATTTGACCTTTTGCAAATGTGTATTGTACTTTAGGGAGCACGGATTTTCATGTTACGACCTCCCCCTTTTGGATTTGACTTGTTGCCTATATCTTAATTTTGGGAAGGTCTTTCGCGCCTTCTTGAACGATTAGTCCGGCTTCGAATACCGTGGCTTTCTACTTTGAACAACACTTCATTAGCGATGGATTTTTAATTTGAGGCTGGCCTGTTGGGCCGCAAATTTTTTCATTTGGCTTTGTT